TAAATATAGTGCAAATAGCATAATCTGGTGCATGGTTGCTTTGTTCAGTCGCAACACAAGGGATATCTTTAATTCCATATATAAAGCATGTATGGTAATGTTGAGAGTGTGGGATGATAGCAGTTAGAGTAGGATCTACTGTAAAGCCAGGAAATAGAATATGAGGTTTGGTAGAAGAAATCTCTAATTGTTGTTGTTTAGGATTAGGTGAAGCAGAGAGTTTATCGCTAATTTTTTTGAATCGATTTAAAGAAATAGTTGTTGCAGTTTGGGTTGTAGATAGACCGAGAGTTGTAAAATGAGGAATTCTGTAGAATTTAGAATTGAAACTGGTATGATATGCTCCACAGAGACATGTAGCAATAGTTGGTTGTAAGGAAACTTTAAAATAATGATGTTTTTTGACAGAGGCATCACAATTAATTGAATTGACATCTGCAGGAAGTACTCGTAGAGATTGAGGTCTTCCTTCAGTCATTCCTACACCATGACAGTCTTTGTATTTGCCATGATAGTAGTCAATATCATAAGAATCTGGATCTTTATTAATAAGGGTTGGCATTTTTGCTTAAAGAATGAAAATAGAGTAGATTATTGGAATCTTGGATGTGAGGCGATCTGAAAGATATATGGGTGTGACAAATAAGTGTGTGACAAATAAAGGTGTGACAGATAATAGAGTGTGATAAATAAGAGGATGTGACAAACACAGGGTGTGTTAAATAAGTATTACACAGAGTATGTAACACTTGCAGATCTGTAAGTCAAGATTGACGTTAAACAGAAAAGTTGTGTAAAATTAAAAGAATACAAGTTTGTAAACAGTACAGATTGACTCAGATAGTGTAATATTGATTAGTAATCCTGTTTGGGCGGGTTTGGATGGGGTAGACTAGAGACAGTCCCCAAAAAAATTAAAAAATTTTTGTAAAAATAAAATATAAAGTTTTGCAAGAGTGTTTAAAAGTATTTTTTGATAAATCGGTCAATTTTAGGCCATTTTTGATGATTTATATATTAAAATGAAGCTGATAATGAGCTCTTTCAATTTGTTCTAAGTCACCAGAGTAGTTAACCTAGTAAATTTTGAGATAACTTAATTAGAAGCGTTTTTTAGTTTATTGAATATATCTCTATTAAAAAGAAACTTAGAGATATAAAACTTGGCCGCTAAGTGTAGAATTGTATTAGAAACAACTTTACTTAGACGCCCAGAAGTGGTTTACATAATAAAATATTGAGTAAGAGACAAATGTTTGTAACAAAAATTTGGTACAAGTGATCATCAGAAAGAGTTAGTGATTTGCGTCTTTTGTTTTATTCATTAATTAATATTAATAATATTAATGATATTATTTTAATTATAGAAAATCAAAAAACTTAGAAGAATTAAAAATAGAATCAGAAAAAATTTATGATAATTATACAGATCTTATTATTAATAAATTTGTAGAACATTTATGATTAAATCAATTAATTTTAAAAATCAGAAACACAATTCTAATTAAAATGAACAATTTTTATTAATAATATTCATACTTATTTAAATACTAAATTTTTATTATTTTGAATGAATAAATTTAATTATGATAATCCTTAATGAAATATTACTTATTATTATTTCATTTTTTTCTGACATAAATAAAAATTATTTAGCTATCTTTTTATTTCAAGAGATTGGTGTAAAGTTATTATTCCATTTCTTTGGAAAAATCCATTTGATTATCATATTACAACTGAAGAACATTCATTAATGAAAATTATCTATCAAAAATTGAATCCTAAACAACAAGATATTTTTATTAAATTTTTAAATCCTAAAAAAATATATCCAAAAAATAAAACACTTAGTATTTTTCTATATCTTGAATATATACAACAAATAAACACTTTTCAAATTGAAAAAACATTTCAATATTCTTTATTAACTACAATTGTAATTGAATTATTTTTTAATTCGTCAAATATTATTAATTATATTTATTTAACTAATATTAATTAGTTTGATATATTAAACAAATATATAAAAAATCATAAAGTTTATGTTTCAATATATAAAATAAATTTAAAACGATTTAAGTTTGATTATATTAATAATTTAATTGGCTTAACAATAAGTAATATGAATTTTTTTAATAATGATTATAATTTTGATAATATTTTAGATATTAAACATCTTTTATTAATTAAATGTAATAACTATCCATCTAAAATTATTAATACTGTTAATAATATTATTAAATTGAAAAATCTTGAGGTTTTAGTATTAAAAAATACATTCTTTACTATTGATTATATTAAAATCTTTATAAAATCATTTAAAAAATTAACATATTTAAAAATAGTTTCTAATAATATTATTAATAATAAATATATAGAAAATATAAATAATAATGTATTTTATATCAAAATCTTAAAAAACTTAAATTACAATCACAAAATTCTAAAACTCCATTAAAAAAATATTTTATTTTAATAATTCTTTAATTGTAATAAATACTAAAATTATTATTTAATTATTATTATTATTTATTTTATTTTTAATAAATATTTTGATAAGGATTTAAATATTAAAAAGTTTTTTGAACAAGTTTTAGTTGAATTAATTATAATTAATAACTTGAATACTGATGGTGATGTTATATCAAAACAATATCAAATGGAAGAAATAACACTTCTGAATTTAGAAAAAATTAAAAATAATTTAAAATTAAATAATAATAAATGTATTGAAAATTATTTAAAAAATAATATAAATTTATTAATTAAAGATAATATACATGACTTTGATAATGATATTAAAAAAGAAATAGATAATATAAAACAAATTTTAAAAAATTTTGATAATAATAATTGAATAATATAAAAAAATTCTTAAATAATAACTAATTATTATAATGAATAAATTCATTAAATTTATTATCGTTTTTAATATTATTTTCATTTTCTTCATTAATATTATTTTGATTATTCATTTCATTATAATAATTATCATATATTTCATATCTATTATATAAATTTAAATAATGTTCTATATTTATAAAATTACTAATAAAAAGCATTAAACTTAATAATTCTTTGTTATTTTGTTTAAAATAATTATTTTCATATTCAAATTGATCAATTTTAATATATTCATTTTCTTTTAATTTTTTTATTTTATTCTTATAATTGTCAATTTTTTGTTGTAATTCTTTATTTTCATTACTTAACATTGAATTTTCAGTTTGATAAAGACTAAGAACTTCATAATTATGTTTATTATTCTTTTCATATTCACTCTTTTTCTATTCACAAATTTTAATTTCTTCTTGTAATTATTGATTTTCTTTTTGTAATCTTTTGATTACATTTTGCATTTTTTCAAAATCTTGAATTTCTACACAATTTTTTTTATGTTCAAATTTGAGTTCATCAAGAATTTTAGTAAAATTAGTAGACATGATTATTATTATTTAATTTTTTTCTTTATTCATTTTTAATCATAAATTCAAGTATTTTTATACATTTGAAAACCATTAAATTTTAATAATTTTATTACTAATAACATTTCAAATACATTTGACGACTACTTTATTTTACTAATTAAACAAGATTTATTAAACATATAATAAAATAAAAAAAAATATAAAATTAAAAATCTATCTAGCTCATTCGTTATTCTCAAAGAGACTTTCACAAATGATTGTTACCTTTTAAAGTAAGCACTAAACCTGTTTTAAAAACCATTTCTTATCGTAGCATTTGACCGAATACAATTTTTTTTATTTCATATCATATCATATTTTGAGTTTGCATTATGATGAATTATGCAACAAGATTCTTAGGGAAGCTACAAGCTTTGTTTAGACTAAGAACTCAGAAATATGCTACTATCACAATGAAGCCTTTCAATGATATAATACGATATTTTTTTTTATCAATTATTAAAAAAAATTATATTTGATACTTTTCAACTAAATCAATTTCATTCCTTATTTATAAAAATTATTTTTTAATTCGTTTGTATATCAATTTCTATATCGGATTATCTGTGTATTGTTTTTTTTTTGTTTATATTTTGGTTACCTTTTTTTTAATTAATATAATTGATTATTGAAATTCAATAATTGTATTGTTTAATTACTAATTTTTATATTAAAATAATATAAATATTATTTTAAATATAAAATAAAATTAATTAATAAATATCATATAATAAAATATATATAAATATAATAATATCTAGATAAAATAAATTCATTTTACAACACACAATGAATGAGTCATTTGAATTCCAAACATTACCGAATAATATTGTATAACATAATAAATCAAATTTACTCCAATCATTATCCATTTCTTTGTCTTTTTTCCACTCCAAATAGATATTGATAAATTATTCGCGGTAAAACCTAATTACACACTTTTTAAATCAAGTAATGCCTTTATTATCTATTGAAAAAACTTTATTAATCATCTTTATTCGATTGAGATAAATTTAAAAATGACTGATGTATTATCTATTATCTCAGAAACTTGGAAAAATGAACCAGAATATGTAAAAACTGAATATAAAAGAATTGCTGAAAATGCTAAAATAAGATTTAAAGAACTTTATCCTAATTTGAAATCTGTTTATAGAAAAAAGAAAAAAAAAAAAAATAAAAAAAAATGAGCAACTCTCTCCATAGATTACTTATACCAAAACTACAAAAAACATTTGATTATTTCTCAACATTACATTAAGTAAACCTTACTTGACCTCTTAAGTAATGTTGTTCAGCACACTTTTCTCCTTCTGGGCGGCTATGTTTTATTTCCTAATAAAACCTGGCTGCAGAGAAAAGTTCCAAATACCAAGTTTTTGGTCTTTGTCCATTTACACATAATTTTATTAATTAAATCTATCTTCTTACCTATTTAAAAGTTGTTCAGCTCACTGAGACGAACATTTTGATATAT